TTTTTTTTAATATATATACATATATATTTTTATATTTTTTTTATTATTATGAAAATATAAATTATTATGGTTGTTATATGGATATATAATTAGGACTGATATTTCAAAACAATATTATTTCTATTCACTGCACATGATAATGTTTTTTTTCTTTCTTTTCATTTTCGAGCAATGGACTTTAAAGCATTAATTGGTTGTAATACGAATTGTTTACAAAAAAAAAAAAAAATAGTAGTTAGTTTTTTAAACACGAATGAATGCTATTTAATTTAATAATAATTATTATTATTATTATTATTAGCCCTTATCAACGTGCACCGCAAATAAATTTTGACATTAGATATTTGTTTTTAAGTTTTCTAAATATATGCAATAGCTTTTCATAATAAAAGATATTTTATCGCAATATACAAAATATAATATTTATAATAAATTAGGTATACACACATATATTTATATATATATATATAAAAAGTATAATAATTTTTTAAGTTTTTTAATTAACGAGAGATCGTCGTGTTGTACACGCACTCAAATTATTTAAATATCGATGAAGTAAAATAAACGTGATAAGTACTTTATTTTTATGCTGTTCGCAAAGTCTTATTTGTTTTTTTTTTTTATTTAAAATGTTTTTCTGTACGCGTTTATAAAAAAAAAGGTATTTAAATTTTGTCATATTAAAATGACATTAAATAAAATGAATACTTTGATAGAATTTTACTAGATAATAAAAAAAAAAAATAATGATGAAGATTTTGCGGACAATATAAAGTACCATAAACTAATTATATTTATTATGCATATTTATATTTGTCTCCTTTCAGGGCATTTCAACATGACAGGCATGGCCTTTTTTTCTTTCTTTCTTTCGTTTATTTCTTTTTTCATTTTGTTTTTATAATTATTTTTTTGTTTTTTTGTTTGTTACATATTCACTATCTTTCTTGTGAATAATTAACATGTCACCCATTCATAAATATGCGAGGTTTTAATAAAATACCTTTCATTAAATTCTTTTTTTATATGTATATATAATATGCAGAACATTAACTACAACAACACAATTGAAAAAAAAGGTATTTTACGAATATCCTCATATTTACTGCATTAATATTTCTATATATATATATATTATGCAAGTTTAACTTGAAAATAAGTTTTGCAACCACGCAAATGCTAAATTTATAGCTCTATGCTGTATTATGTTCGCACAATAACTCATTTTTCGTTTCGTTTCTTTTCGTTTCGTTTCGTTTCTTTTCGTTTTATCTAAATACTTTGATATTATACAGTTTAATGATTTCATCAATCCCTTTGAGAACAAACATTGCAGAATCAAAGATGATCTATATTTATTTATTTATTTATTTATTTATTCATTATTTTGTAACATTTTAACTCTCTTAAATAATGATTACAATTTTATATTGAAGAGAATAGAAAAAGAATAATAAATGAATCTAAATAATATGTACAGTACTACAGAGTGACATATTTTGTGTATGTATAGAAAAAGTATGAAAGAAAGTAATTTTTTCATCTTATCTCGCTACTTTATTTTTGCTTTCCTTGTATTAATTGCTGTCTTTCGTTTTCATTAATTTCTGGTTTACCATTGGACTGGTACTCCAAGACCTGCATCGTGCCTCTTTCCGCTACTCCCCAGAGTCAGCCGTCGTTGGAGGTAAGTTAAAGTAAGTTGTAAATAATTAATCATTCATTAATTACCATTTAAACATCATAGATAATTATAACATTTGCAAATTACCAATTTTTAATCTGTTTTATGGAATTAGTTTTTAATAATTGTACATATTACAATAGAAATAAATTAATAACAATTTATTTATTTATTTATTTATTTATTTATTTATTTTTATCATTTTTGTATATATTTTTTTTATTAACATCTTAGAAGAAAAAAAAGAATTCAGATGTTAATGTAAATACGAAATTTATTTTGTAAATAAATTGTATTATTTAATTTTTTTGTATAATTCGTATAAATCCATAAAACAGATTTTTTTTTTTTAATTATTATTTATTTTTAATCTCAACATTGGCTAATATTTTTTATTACGCATTAATTTAATGCGATTAATTTGATATAAAGGAAAAAATAAATAAATAAATAAAAATTATACATGTGGTGTCTCTTTCATGAGATTTTAAATAAAGTTTCTTTCAGTCTCTGCTCGTTGTATTAATTCATCGAAAACCTTTAAAGACATTGTGGTCTGTAAGCTATGCCTTGTACTACACCATAGAAAATAATTTATTTATTTCATTTATTTTTTAATACAATATATATCAAATCGATGATTTATACACGTTATAAATACAAATATATGTCGACGATAATTTACTTTTAGTACATAGGCATAGTCCTACGACAAAAATGTATTCCGATCCTTATTAATATCCTTCAGAAAAATGCGTACACCTATAATCGATCGATCATCGTCATCAACAAATTCATACATAAATTAATTTTAAAATAAATAATTAATTTATTCAAATTTTTTCTACATTCTCTCTTAAAGTCATTAATTAGTTTCAAATTGAATCGACCATTTTGTTCCTAGTTTTTCAGATACACGAAACCAATACAATTGCAGATTATACAATAAAAAGATAATAAAAATTAATGTTAATAAAAAAAAAATATGTACATTTAATTAACAATTATAAAATAGTAATAAGTTATGATTTAAACACACATATATACTTATATTTAAGAAAATTAATTAACGATTGGATTTAAAAACGAATGAATTAATAAGTATACCTATACTTGTTTTCTTTTTTCGAGGTTCGTATTCTTTGGTTTGTTGAATGATCGAGTTTATCGATTATTTAAATAAATGTACCTCGAAGATTATACATATTACGAATATTTCATACACGATAATAGAATTGATATAGTTATAAACGCGATTGATTATTGAATCATTGTTTAAATTGAATCTCGAGGATAATATAATAGATAAATCTGAATGAATCGTTTTATCGCGTTGTGTTTACCTCGTGCATAAATTGTTCCCCAACTATAGCAAGCCCCGTGTATATTAGACCTTTCTATACTAAACGAAGGATCGATCTTTTATTTAAATTGGTGATGTGACAGTAGAAGGATTATCAGACATTTCGCTTCCACTACTGCTGCTGCATTGAGGTTGGTCTATCGATGAACTTATGGCAGTAACGTGTGTGGATGCACATGAATGTCCTGCGGATGATCCAAAGGCGTCTTTATAAAGACACAGCCTGCAGAAATTACCGCTACCATAAATGGGCAAGTTAACGAAGCCACTGGAAACTGCGAAGTTTCTGAAAAAACAAAAAACCAAAAAATACAACATTTCCAAATAAAAATATAAACAATTTCTTTCAACAATCTTCAGTTTATCGTTTAATTTTACTAAATGACGAATTGCGTGCACACCGTTGCGTGCTCACGTGCTCTTCATGATTACACATTTTTTAATATAGAACATTTATTTTATTGTTTCACTTTATTTTTCTAACAAATAAACAATTGAATTTGTCATTGATTAAAAATAATAAACGTGAAATGTTAATATCATCCTTAGTTTTAGAGAGAAAGATATAAGAAGGATTCGTGGGAGTGAATTCTTTGATAAAAATAGAGAGAAAAGCTCGGAATAGAGCCATGATGTGGCCATGGGAAAGATAAGATGCGCGAAATTCAATAACAATAGAGGAGAGCACGTCGGCCCTTCAAAGCATATGGTACTTCCCGCAGCGGCAACAGCTTCCACGGTATTTCGCTACGGTGCATCCAGCTAAATCATTATCTTGTCAGGGTTGATGTATTGCTCCTACGATATGGTCATTACCACGATCATTAGCACAGCTGCACCGAAGCGCCAGACAAGATACTTAAACCATATGATTTTTATCGATATTTATTAAGATTTTACTTCACTAATTTGTTTTTATTTATTTTAACAATAACATTGAAATTTTCATCAAGTTTCGATCAGAAATTATTGTTCATTTATTTCTATATAAAAATTTGATGAAAATATGATCGATTAAATGAGTATTTTCCTAATATTTTTCTTCCATTCTTTAAGAATACGATAAAAGGAAAATAAGAAAAATATCTTGAGAGGGGGAGTAAAGTATTTACAGAAGCATCTTTCTAGGGCCATTCTCTTAAAGACTTCGAAGAAAGGTTGTTCGGCACGCGAGCGTGTAATCTCCCCCTTCTGAAAAGAGGCTATTTAGTGGTGTATTCCATCCTATCAGAAATATCAGCCCGTTGATTCGTAGCTTTGAATCACAGTCAACCCTCTCAGCCTTCAACGAGAAGATTTTTCTCTCTTTCTTTTCTTCTGGGTATTATTCAGCCAATATGCACCTGATGCCATTACAGTACTCGATCAGATGGTTCTATTCGATAAGCCGAAGATAAACGCCTGGATAAACGCGTACGTACGGTTTATATACCAATAGATTTTCCAATCCACTTGGTTCGACGATTCGTACGTTTATTCGTTCGTTTATTCGTTCGTTTATTCGTTCAACACATCCGTTAGTTCCCACGTACCTTTGGCTACGACGAAGAAAAGGTAAAAGGACTCGAGTTATCCTAACTTTTGTCAATCCTCATTGGGATGAGGATACTTACGAGGAATCAACAAGAAGAAAATGAACTTTACGCTCGAAGGAATTTTTTTCAAACTCTATACGTAATATAATAACGAGTTGCACAATTTAGATATTTTTGGTCATCCCAAACTTGTATAGAATCAAATTTGTAATGCTTACCGATACTGTTGATCTAGTTGTGCCTTCTCAATTCTCTTGTCTTTAGCTCGACGATTTTGAAACCATATTTTGATCTGTGTTTCCGTCAATCTCAAAGACTCTGCCAGTTCGAATCTTCGACCTCTTGATATGTATTCACCTCTCCGATATTCTATTTCCAAACGCAAAGTTTGTTCCCCGCTAAATGTTGTCCTCTGTCTTCTTGGTCGGCCTTCTTTTCTTCTACGACGTGCAACTGTATTTTGCATATCAAAATAATTTCTTTTATTAGCATTTTTTATTTAGTATAAAGAGTTAATATTAAATAGATATAAGATTTATCATGAAAGGTATAAATTCTATCTGGACAGGACAGTAGTAATCTGATGCCATAACCGCAATCCATATTGTAAAATAATTAGGATGTGAAGGATAAATGATACCGGAAGTCAGATGCTCGAGGCTTCGCGCAATCTGGTTCAGGATGGAAATAGGATCCTAATTGCTCCTTGAACCCTACTCGTGCATTGCATGGATGTTCGCACTTTAGAAGGATTGCTTACCAAGCGTTATCGTCAAAACTCGTCCATCTTGAAATATCGAACGCAATCTCAAAAAAAAAAGGGGGCCTTTTTTCTTCACACAATTTATACAGTTTACAACATTTTGTAAATTTAATAGTTTCCGATATATGTGTGTTAGTAATTAACAAAATACTGCAATTTAAAATTGGGTTGTATATTTTAAATACAACACTTGCATGTATATGTGTATAAATTATTATGTCTCTGTACGTAAATGCTTTTCACGGAGGAATAAATTTCACTTAATATAAATACGTCAACTAGAACGCGTTACATTATACCGCTAAGTTTACATTAATGAATATTACTGGAGAAACTGCAAGGAAGGAAGACCAAACGAAACGGATTTGACAATAACGATAATAACTTATCGCACCTCGATGAGTTCATTGTCATATGATTTATTTCTTCCTTTCTATTCTCGTTCCCTCTTTTCTTCTTTCTCTCATCTTCTGCTTTTTTTACTTTTACCTCTAAAACCCGCCTCATGATAAAAGTGCGCTGATGACGGCTATTATACGTATTTTTATATCACTTATTTTCAAAATGAAATGTTTAAATAGATTACAAATTATAGTTGAATAATTTACATATTTAAATTATAATAATTTTAAAATTAGCACACACGAGTAATGCAAAATGAGAAAAGTGTAAGTAATGTAATTAAAATGTATGCACTATTTAGGGATAATTATAACAATCCTAAAAATAATTAGATAAAATATTATTCGATAATATATTTAATTAATTCCGAATGACCAGGAATCTTTGGTGGCGCCTGCCGTGACAACGGCTTAAGACCACAGAGGCGGAATTGGTTTGAGGAAATATAGCAATGCATATTCTACATTGAGATTCGGCCAACTGCGTTTCGTAATCTCATCACAATATCGCCACGAGGTGGCGAAGCGGGATAAACCCTCCCCAATGTGTGCATGTATACGTGTGTATTTATTGTAACAACGACTCACAATGACGAAATCTCAGGCGAACAGTGAAATTTTTAAATCCATTTTCTTCTACCCTCTCTATCTTTCTTTCACATTTTTCTTTCTTCTTCTTCTTCTTCTTCTTGTTTTTTTTTTCATCCCTGTCTCTCACTTTCTACATATCTGTTAAATTTGTTATTAATTTTCATGTTCTAATTTGTCTCGTTGAAAGTTTCAGATGAGAGCTTTAATAATATCAAACGCCGAGGATATAATTATCAAAAAAAAATAAGCAATTAATTAAAATTCATGATTTTGTTGTAGGTAAAAATGTTCTTATCAAGGGGATTTATCTAAAATATAAAATATACTCTTCAAAGAAATGATTTCCAAATTCATCGAGAATTTATCCGATTGTACGTAGGCGAGTTCTCGATCTTCCCTTCTACAATTTTATTATAAAAGCATTGAGAACGCGATATACGAGAATATGGAGGTTTTGTTAACAAGTGAATACAACGTGCACTTCCAAAGGTCCGAGGATTCGAAGTTTCCACGGTAAGCCGAGGATGGACAGCCGTCTTTGCAGCAAACAGGAATACATGCACGTTTTGAATAAACGCATGTCGTCCCATCGGTATAAGCAGATTTGACGAAGTCGCGTTATGATGAAGACACCGCACGTCCGTTCTTCCTTCACCAACAACCATTCAAGTAAAATATCTTCGACAAAGACTCTTCTCCCATAGACATCTCATGAAAATCCCATGGACGACGGCTATCATTTCGATTCGTCTTTGATGCTTATCGAGTCTCCATTTCCTATTTCTTCCCAACGATTACCCCCCTCTCGAACTAGTTACAATTGTACGATTCGATCATACGACGAATGTTTATCGTCAATTTCAATGAAACATTCAACATTTATATGTGTTGATTAACTCTTTATTGATAAGTGACATTTTTTTGATCGTTGATTAATTGTTAGTTTTTATTTGGCGGTAAACATTTGTAGTGTCACTCATACTTGTTATCGTTGAAATTTATATTCGTAAGATTTAAAGTAAGAGATTTTTTGTTCATACTATAACACAACTATTATATATAAAAAAAAAAAATACTTACGGAAGGCAGAGAATCCTTGTAAATGATGATCCGTCGCCGGATGATTCGTTAAGCCATGAAGATGCGGCGGAAGTACAGAAGGATGTGCGAGTTGCGTCAGGTGCAACGTGTGATTAGGGGCACCAGGAAAAAATGTGTGAGATAAAAAGGGAATTCCTAAAGTTGGCAATCGAGAATCCTTTTCGGATACTCTTGCATCCTCTTGTGGTATTCTCAATCTTTCAGGATCTTGCGTTTGATTTTCTTCTCTCGCTATCGTTTCCGTCACGTTATTTTCCTGATACACACACAGACACACACACAAATGCAAAGATATTTTTAAAGACTAATTGTTTTATATTAGATTAAACACTCTGTATATTCAAAATAAAAAAAAAAGGACTTACTTGTGTAGTATCGCCATGAGGTGTAGAACGCAAAGTTTCCGTACCAGAATTGGCGTTTTTTTCGCAAACGTTCCCTCTCGTTGAAGATTCCAAATTTGTCCTTGATTTTGATGAATCTTCCACTTCGTCGTTCACTTTTTTCGTCGATTCTAAATGACCATAGATACGAGCGAAGAACCGTCGAGGGGATGACGGCCTTCCTGTTTTCGTCGACATTTAATTCACTGACAATAACAACGCGTTTTTCTTCAATAATTCCAAAATTATTTCTAAGAAATATCTGTCCAATTTTTCTTTTTAATTTCTAATAAGATTTGATTTGTTTTCTCTATCTTTTCACAAAAATTGCACGTTCCATAACATTCCTTTTACTCCACAAAACCATTCTTCTCTCAACACTTATATTCAATTCTGACACCATAAACGAATCCTTTTCCCGTATAAAAAGAACTATTTCCAAAGCAATTAAATCAACTTTTCTCCTTCTTTCTCTTGTTAAAAACAATTGTATTCTTTTAAATATTTGCTCGCTAATAAAATAATAAAAATGAAACAACAAGTCAAGGTAGATAAACAATAATTAAATATGTTAAATTCAAAAAACTGCACGACTTAAAAAGTGTATAACTTATGTAAAGATGATTCGATATGAAATAACGCGCGCATCTGAATCACCTTGGTTGCACGTCCATTCTCTCACCTCGTGGTGGGTATCTCGATAGCAGAAGGGACTGTTCGTTGGTAACATTATTCTCCCTACTCTACTACGGGACTACCCCACCATCGATGTTCCAATCCCCATCCATTCCCGGCCTCCTTCTAATCCCCGTTGTCGTTCCTTGCACCGCCCATTCGCTACGAAACGCTCTCGTATAGGTAATATATCTATATATATACCTTCTATCTACCTGTATACATTGTATATATATATATTTAAATGCTCACAACGCGCGATCTATAGTATTAGAAGATTTTAACTTAAATTTTGAAGAGTAGACACTTCAATTTTATTAATCTGTATTTGAAAATATACAAAAAAACATTTTGCTAGTTCGTTTAATAATTATTTTAAATATGTTTAATATTGTAATGTATTACGTTAGTTCTGAATAATTAAATAATAACAATTTATCGTCTAATAAAAAAATATGTAATAATTTAAACATTATATAGAATATGATTAGTTAAAATAGATATTTTATCGACCTTCCGAAGGCTACATGAGCATAACGTAACAGATTATTTGTAATAAATAACATTTCCTTATATGGAAAGTCATATAAACAACATTTGATAGAAGAACCTTTACAGAGGATTCCGTGTCAATTTAACGAGGGATTTCGAAGAGGATGGTACATAGATCATATACTCGGTGTTTTTAAATAACAATACACGTTACTTTTAATTATTTAATAATTATTTTAATATTCTAATACACTCTACTTCTACTACAGCATAATTTAACCCTCGTAGTCATCACCTGTGCAGGTACGATCAAATAATTACATTAGAATACAAAAAAAATGGTATAATCAGAACGTTACAATCTTTTATTTTATTTATTATTCAATACAACTAATATTTAATAGGAAACTCAAATAAAAATGTCTTTTTAAGATAGAATATTGTAAAACTCGTCCAACCCCTTAAGATTTTCGTCATTAGTATCGAGCCCTCGATGGGGTGGATTTTGATTGGTGAGAAGAAAATTGAAAAATTCATCTTACCACCATTTCACCATCGATAAAAGGATGCTTGATTTGTAATTTCTTAACATCTTCGAAGAAGATTTCTTTTATTTCTACAGATGCAGCTTTAGTAATATCTTGAAAGTATTTACGGTCAACTGCACAACGAACAATTCATTCGGCTGGGATTCTTTTCTCGTTCATTGATCGAGGGGATTGGTGGTTTCTTGTTAACGATATACATGCCCTTTTATTTTGTTTTTTTCTTCTTCCAGACGGTTCTTTATTCAAAAGACGAAGTATAATATATTCATCATGGAATCGTCGATATTTCGTAAGATGATATATGAAAATTGTCTCGTTAAAAGTTGAACAGAAAAAAAGGAAGAAGGATCGTTGCGATTCATCAAAGAAATATATACATAAAAAAAAGGTATCTCTTAGTATTCTATCGTTTAATTAAACAATAATACTAAATTCATATATAATTACAGTAATTAAATAATTAAATGATTAAATGAATATTATACTTGCAAAATTTGATATCGAACATTTTATCATCTATACGCATTAAATGAAAAAGTCATAATAATGTAAATTTGTATTACTTGTGTATTATATACATATAATGAAATGAATCATTTGATCAGCAATAGCATCGATGATAAGCAGATAAAGGAATACTATTCTCCTTGACAAGTATCGCTTTATCTCAAACGAAAATCAAGTTAAAACAGTGCAGAGAGAAGGATATTAATTGTGACGTCGATATGGATGCAATCGATATGAGAGGGGTAGTAATAATCGTAATACAATAACAATGGAATATGAACAATAGGTATCAGAGATCGTTGAGACGATATATAGGTATGTGTTCTTGGTTGTTACGATGTGCGCAGGTCTCTCGTTCAACGAATTCCCATTGGTTCTTCCCTAATTACATTGATTTCCAAAGTATTCCCGATTGGTCCATGAATGAGGTACCATAACGACGGGTTAACTAGCACAGGTAATTTCTCGAACAAAGGTGAAACAATCCGATCCAATTTATATTGGATACCATCTACAAATTTTTCTTTCTCCCTCTCTCTCTCTCTCTCTGCATTTTGCATTTATTTCATTAACAACATTGCATTGATGTTCTTCCGCATCGAATCATTTTCGATTTATCGAGCGTAAAACGTTGCTAGATCTGAACTTTGTTTATTTCAAAAGTATCCTCTTGTAACAGCATGCAGTACATTTTATTTTATGGAAAGAAGTATAATTGCAATATTGAAAAAGAACTATCAGGAATTTGTTCTTAAGTGATAAAGAGAACAGTCAATTTAACTATGAACAATGAACCGATTACAAGAAACGCAAAGTTCACCATGCAAGGATACAATGAAAGATTGTTCAAAAAGCAAATTGACCAAAATTTATCCCAAAAGTACTGGTAATTTAAAAGTACCACAGAGCTCACATTTCCGAAAAGATCGTAAGTCAAGTTTCAACATTATTTTTCTAAATTATTTCATTACAAAATGGATGTATATTTTTGGTTTTTAGAAGCTCAATCTTTCGATCATGAATACGTGGAGAAAGATCTTAACGAAGTATCGAATCTGATCAATCAGAATTCTAAAGTACCGAAGGAACGATGGATCGCATTGGCTTTATTTTGTATACTAAGTTCCAGTCAGTGTTGCATATGGAATACTTGGGGTCCTATAACAATACCAACAATGATAGCTTTTTCCAATTGGCAAAAATATCACATTGCTCTTTTATCCGATTGGGGTTGCATAACGTATCTCACATTTTGTCTTCCTTGTTGTTGGTTTTTGTATAAAAAAGGTACTAATTTATCTAAATTAATAAGAACAATTAAACATTATTACTTGAATATTAATTTCACTATAATATTAGGTTTGGTAGCACCCATAAGAATGGCAGCGATCCTTTCAGCATTAGCAGCTTTCATCAGATGTTTTTCGTGCAATGAAACGATCTTCACTATGTAGGTACGCCGATAAAAAGCAAATTTGATCAAATATATATATATATATATATATATATCTTCAATGTAAAATGATGTAATATTTTCTATGGGGAATATATATATATATAGATCTGTTATATCTATTCAGAACGGCACATTTAGCGGCCATCTTAAATGGTCTGTCTGGGGTAATAATCGGTCCAGCTACAGCCCTGGTATCTGCTGTTTGGTTCCCACGTGGAGAACGCACCACCGCAACCGGTGATAATCTCTTTAATATAATTAATATCGTAGTTTGTCCATTGTTCTATCTCGAAACGATAAAACGAGATATATGGGATCTAATTTCAAGCGAAACGATGGACTTACACATTTTAGTTTAACCAAAGAGAAAGTCATTATTTATTAATACGTATATAGATATCGTTAATTGAATTTAACGTTTTCATAGGCCTGATCGATCGATCAACTAAATCATCGATAAACTAAATTTAATTCTTATTCGGCTTAATATAAACATTTAATAAAATAATAATGACATTTTTCAGGTATATCTTCCGCTAGTAATCAATTTGGCATGGCCGTATCTTATTTGATAGGACCAGCTGTTGTTGATACAACGATTTCGGCTAATAAAACAATATTAAACAGAAAAGCTAATAAAAATGTAGAAATTTATTCTCGTAAAAATAATTATTATATTCGTTCAGCTAAACGAGATATATTTCATCCAAAATCATCTTCAAATAATAATCGTATTCAAACGATTCTTCGTGTACAAATCATGTCGTTGATGAGAATCGGTAATGCATTTCGATTAATAAACTTTATTATTTTTTCCAATTAATATAATATTAATTATTAGTTTTTATTTTGTTTTGCAGAATTCGTGATTCAATCCCTTATCGTTGTTGGAATCATAGCATTTTTTCCAAACCATCCTAATGCCATTGATGCCACAGACACCTCTTCTCATTTAAGCTTGATCGATTCACTCTTATTTCTTCTCAAGTAATTGAATATCATTCTAATTTATTTTACATATGATTTTACTATTAATAATGTTTTATTTAAAAGATAGAAAACTTTTTCTTTGCAAAATTTGAGCTTAGTAAAGCTTCGTACATACGTCAAGTCATTAATTTTATTGTAAACATGATTAGGATTAATTATTGCAATGGAAGAAATCAACAATTATATTATATAAATTGTGAAATCAAATGCAAATTTGAAAGGCTCATTCTTATAATTTTTTAATGCAACTTGATATCAAGTCCCTTTGGCGCAGAGGATAGCGCGTTGGACTTCTAATCCAAAGGTCGTGGGTTCGATCCCCACAAGGGATGATTATTTTTTTTCTTTTCAGAAAAACTTTATTTTTTTTGTCATTATTATAATGTAAACATTGAAATTTAAATAATAATAATTAAAATAATCTTGTTTATTTCTTTTTTTACATAAGAAAGAAGAATATGTGGCAATTATGTTTAGCAGCTGCACTTAGTCAAGGTGTTACCGGACCATGGCTCAGTATGATCACTTTAACATTTGATTCTATGGTTACACAAGTAAGTTTATTTATTTATTATAATTTTTTCATGAAAATACATATGCATGTAGTTTTATTTGAATATACAGGAGGAAGCTGATAAACTTGCTTTCTGGACTATAATTTTTGGCAGCGTTATTAGCTTGGTGGCTTCAAGAGTGGCCGATATTTTTCAAAATCATCTCAGAATCGGTCTTTTTGTATTACTAATGATATCCGTGACAATGTTTCTCTGGGTTTTATTGCTCGAAAATCAAATCTTAATATTTCGTAAGGAAGAACTTTATGCTGCTGTGATATTTGGAGTATCGGCCAGCTGGTCCACTCCAGCCTTATTCCTTGAACTTGCTTCTGAAATCGCATTTCCTGTTTCGGAAGCCATCGTAGGAGGATATATGATATTTCTAGCTAACTTGATAGGAACTTTATTTTATTTTTCTTATTTTATACCTGGAATTGGTAAGCGAGATTTAATTATATTAAATACTGATGAAGAAGTAAATGAATCTAGATTTAAATTAATCTCAATTCTTTTTTCAATACAGGTGATCGATGGTCTACCTATTGTGTTTTTGTAAATTTAGCAATATCAACTATTCTCATATTTTATTTAAAAGAAGAATATAATCGTACATAATTAAAGTAAGTTAAATGAAAGAAAATATTTTTAAAATAATGTTATTAATTTATATTTTATATTAGGTTTAGCAAGAATTACAGAAATGTTTGTAGTAATCAAGAATAAATACAGATTCGGATATTCATATATATTTAGTTTTGAGATAAAGATAATGTCATGTTTGTGATATTTTATTAAATTTTACATTTAAAAATTTGTCTTTTTAAATTAAATTCATTTATCGACTCTAGATGGCAGTATGATAGAATGGTATATCTTCGGTCGGTAGCAGTCGGTAATTAAATTCATTTATCGACTCTAGATGGCAATAAGATAGAATGCTATATCTTTGGTCGGTAATAGTCGATAAAGTAGGCAGCACATGTTTTTGTCTCGACGCGACATCTATATGTCAAAATCATTTAATTGCACTAAACTATAACAATGAAATGGTGATAAAGTTATTGTTGAAAATAATTAGCATGAATAAAAAGAATATTATTTTATTATATAACTTTTTATCTAATAGACATTAAAATGTATGTTATGGCTTTGCATAAGGTTAGATATATTTTAACGCGCAATACAATTTATTTGCATATTGCATAAAGGTTTAAAAAAATGTGATTAATCCTTACACTGCAACATTAATAATGGCGAGTAGGAAAGATGTAACAGTGCACAAACCTAATACCTTATAAGTTTTATCTACAATTCAAGAAATATACGAGGCCAAAACAATATTATCGTCACATAACCCTCCATTAAYAATAATAATCATGGAGAAACAAAAAAGTCGACAGGTAAACTTTAATTTTTTTGTATATACTTGTATTTATTTTCAAGTTATTATAAATTGGTAAATTTATATGATTATATATACATAAATTTAATACTTAAAATTATAAATTAATAACACTATTATGATTAATAATTTGTGTACATTTAGAAGAAGAAGAAAGACAAAATAATACCGCCCAGTTTAGAACAACAAATACCAGATGCTCCAACCTTAGAAGAATTCGAGTGTCTTTTTGGAGAATCTCCTACCAACTATCCTAAAGGTGAATGCGTTGAAAACATGGAAAGTGAGTTGCATTCAGCTGCTATTGATACAGAAATTTATGAAAAACAAGCTGCCGAAAAAGCTGCTTACGAGATGGAATGTAATTTGTCTATTGAAACCTCTGAGGTATTTATTTGTATTATTTTCAATTAATATGATATATTAATATAGTATTCAGAAATGTAAGAAACGTATATTTTGACAGGTATGTACAGAATCATCTGTTTCATATGACGAAATTGATGGCAAACATCTAGCAACTCCAATGCAAGATGCGGATCCTTTGGAAGGAAACATAGAAGAAGTCAGAGTAGTAGTTTCAGAAATTCGTTTGATAGATGTTTTCCCTACAGCACCTACTGCTGAAGATCAAGAAACAACTACGTTAACATCAGAAGAAACCATATCTTCATTCAGCACTAGTTCGAATAAAGATTTAGTTAAGGAAGAAGAGATCGAAAAGAAGTCAGAAGTATCTAAAGATAAAATTAACACGACACAAGCTGTTATTAATGATGTTAAACCATTTACCGAAAATCAATTAATATCTCTTTACAATAATCAAGAATTATCACTGGTCGATGCCTTTATTGCAGAATTTACGGAGATACAATTGAGAAGTCATGCGATTAAACAACAACATAAACTTTATGAACTTCTTATGAATTATCTTCGTGTTAGAAATCATCTGATTATAAATTCGCATGAATTGGAAAGATTGAAGGAAAATTGTAGAGAAACGCAAAAACAATTATGGTGTCTTGATAAAGCTACTATTACGGAAAGTGGTGAATGTCAAGATGGAAATCCTGTTAGTGCTATTCATGAATATTCTATTGCTCATTTCAATCAACAAGCATTGCATAGCTTGTCACGTAATTTATCAGCTATCAAAGACATATTATATAATATCCAAGCATTATATTGTTATGAAGCAGAAGTACTAAGATTACAGATTGAACATTATATCCAAAGAGTATGTATTTGTTGTAAAGAATTTACAAACCTACCAACGAATGCACCAGTTAATTTAATGCCAGTACAATCACCTTCACAAACAATACCGCAGCTAGTTGAATTAAGAATGTGTATTACAATATTGTTCACTTTTCAACGAAAAATTTTAAAGGATGGAAAATTTGTTACCGATGTCAGAGATTGGCTTTCTAAATTGACAGCAGTTCTCTTAAGAGTAGCTACTTGGCAGGATCATTTATTTTTATTGAACCACGTATTGAGATGTCCTGGAGGTGTTATGAATTGGGCACGTGGCTATATTCAAATTCCATTACCATCTACAAATGCAATCGAAGTATCTACGTCTCCATTAAATGATCCATACCTTGATCATATGATAGCTACGTTAGCTGTTATTTTACTTCCAATTAAAGATCGTGAGAAGTTCCTAGAACAGGTATGCATGACAATGATATTGATATAACTTTATATTCAATGTTTAATAGAATATTATTTATAATTAGGTACAATTATCGTTGCAAGATACAACAAGTAACCCAGGTGATACGATTTGGGTCATGTTGGATGAAGAAGGCGAAGAAGATGAAGACATTGCTAATTTTGGTGCAAATTTATACGAAAGTGATCTTATTTTTCTTTTGCATCAAATACCGTTCAATAAATTATTTGAACAGATACTTTTTATACAATATCAAAATGATAAATATTATCAAAACAAGAATTTAATTACCGATCATCATATGATACGAATATTTGCTTTTTCTACTGTCTTTGTGAGACTAGTAAATAAAGGATTAAAAACATATGATTCTCCACGATATAGACAATTAGCTAAAAGATTAAGTGCATTAATCAGAGACATAGTTCAATATGTCAGCGATCAGTGGGAAGCATTTGACAAGAGTCAAGTAAGAAATTATTTGTATATTTTATTTATAAATTAATTATAACATATGTATTTCTTGTGTTACAATATTTCTATATTCTTTTTATCAAAAAGGTGACAGATCCATCAATGTTGCTGAAATTACAAACTGAATATGATAGCTTTTTATTAAAAGCAACTCTTTCAATATTTTCCTCTCGACGATTAGGTGCATGGCAATATCTGGCATCTATTCCATATCATATTGTATCCCTAACTACATTATGGCAAATCTTTTATACTTTACATACTGACTCTACATCAACAGATGTATATATGACCACTATGACTAATACGGGTTAATATTATTTCATTATTATTTGATAATAAAAAAATAAAAAAACAATAATTAAATGTAAATATTTTGTAATGAATTTATTTTTTACAGAATGGGAAAAAGAATTAAATTATCCAGGTCTTCGTAAACAATTTGAAGAAAAATTAGGCAACATGCCAGGAGATGAATCATATTTTTTATTGACAACATTTGCAAACATGGCTATGGCAAGAACCTTTGCTGATTATGATTTTGTAAGAGCAGCTACTATTGATTTATTTCAAGTAAGTAATTGTCGAGATTGTTTATATACATATACATATATAATTGTATTTTCTTTGCTAATTATACATCATATTACAGATAGGATTTCTTAGTGAAATAACACAAGAATCTTGTTCAAAAGATGCTAGATCATTATTATCTAATTTAACAAATAAGCATCCTACGCTTCTTTCAGACATAATATTAAAATTGCGGGACAATTTTGGTTCTGTTGGAAAGGTACATTTTCAATTGAAGTATACAAATTGATATTTCTCGTTGATTAAAAATATTATTTTACATGAAATAATTTTAGTTAAGCCTGTATTTGTTCACTGAATTAAAAATGGATAAATGGATTCCACAAGAACAAGATTTTAAAGTTCTTTCATTTTGGTTACATCAACATTCGTTAGCATCAACTGAAAGTCACTTAGCACGTTTAGTTCTTACTCATCTCAATTGGGGACTCGAAGGGTTAGTAATATTAATTTATATACTTTTGTATATTGTAATTAGTTACTAAACAATGTAAAAACATTTTTATAGCAATAATTTGTATCTTCCTATTGAAATACACCGACGTGTGGCACTCTTAATTGTTGAATTGGTCATGAAATACGTACCAGATTCTCCTACACAAACTGCCTCTTTACTAGCAGAGGGAGTTAAACAGGTATTTTATTATTATTTTTTTTTTTTTTTTCATATGATAATGGAATAATTTGCTACAATTATTATTATAATATATTTAATTAATTAAAAGGTATCGTCCATAGTCAGACCACAAAATAGTGAACAAGCATTCACTATATGGGCATGGGAAATGTTATCACGTTTGAGATTACATCAACTTGATCAATCTGATGCACTTTCTCAGCGTGCAATATCAAATCCTACTGTAGCATTTTCTTATTTACCAAATATGGAATCTGACTTATTTTTGGAAATTTTAAATACAGGAGTTAGAGAAAAACAACCGATTGCATGTTACGTGTCAGTATTGATGACATTATGGGGCCATTCTATACCCTTAATTTGTTCTAAAGGGTTCAATCAATTACAAACGTTACAATGCTATTATAAATATGAACAAGTATTGATAGCTTTACATCACATTGTGCCATTATTTGTGGATTGTCCTGATTCATTATTTAAGAATGATAAATTTTTAAGTCTCGTTATTACATTAATTACGGCTGATAGAACGTATATGAAAATGGCCAAGAATTTAATTGCACCTGAGTTTCCTGGGCCATTACTTAAACAATTTTCAAATATGATTGAATCCCATTTGTACAAGTATAAAAGGTATATAAATTATTTGTCTTCAAATTTTATTCTCTGTTTTAATTTTACTAATATATATTATTTCTTTTTACAGATACTGTTTACATAGTCCTGCGAAATTAATGTATTTATGGTTGAACGTACTTATACTTGTACCAGATTGGAACAAAGACCAAAATGTTTTACATTTAATGGATACAATCATTCGGGCTGTATTC